GAAAACACCAGTCACGACATGTTTTTTGGGTTACTGTTATTTCACAGAGGAGTAGTGGACCCTTTCCAAAGATGTGGCTCTGTCCATCAGCATATCCAGCTGCATACGTAATTCCTGTAGAAAACGGGTTGGAGCTTGTGACGACCCCTTTACTGGGGAGACCTGGTTTCCCTTTAAAAGTGTACTTTATGTTTTTCTCTACTGGGTAATCTGGCTGCCACCAGGAAATTTAAGGCTTTCCAAACCTTTATAATATAATATTCATCACTGGGTAGGTATATCGAGGGTTTAAGCTTTCGAGGAACTATGTGGTCTGAGGAAGGATTCTTTCCAGAGCTGGTATACTTGAATGAAATAGGATTTATTTAAAGAAAGCATAAATACGAGGGTAGAACCATGTAACTAGTAAAGTAGGTATAACACACAGTCTGCTCCCTACTGACAGGGATTTTTCCTTAGGTAACTTTGTAACATTTTTTCCTTCATGTCCATATAATCTTTACTGTTTCCTAGACACTCAGCTTCAGCTTATAACTGTTTCAACATAGAACTGCTTGTCACTTTCTTTCAGACACAGCACTTAACTCTCATATCACACACAAGAAGGTCTCTCCTTCAGACCCCAGAACTCAACTCATCCCACACAGGGATGGGTCTCACTCCTCTCATACACAGAACTTCTGCTTCTCTCACCGAAATCAGAACTTAACTGATCTTCATCAACTGTCATATCTAACTGACCCTCTTGATAGACATTCAAATCCTCCACACAGCATCCATTCCGAAACCCCACCCCCTCTCTGTCACTCACCAATCATATCACTTGCCTGATTCCAGCACTCTAGATTATCATCACAGCCATGCAAACCAAACTTTTAAAGCCACACACACACAGTTAAACATGAAATCATTACAGAGCTCATGAATGAGGCATGTATCCATCCAATGGATTTCCTGTTTTTATTGATCTCCTTGCCTTATACCACATTGCAAACTGTTTTTGACATGCTCTTTGGTTTCAAATGCTAATTTGCTATACCAAAATAAATCTAAAGCCTCTTTCCTGAGGCTTCATCCAATTAGTTTCACAGGTCTTAGATTCTGGTGTGAGGAAGGCCTTTGATTCCCACCTGCCCTCAGGTGCCGCCAGAGATTGTTCAGCTGCTGCTCATAGAATCATAGAGTTGGAAGTGGCCATATAGACCATCTAGTCCAACCCCCTGCCCCTGGGGGCTACGCGGCCACCATTACCACCAGTCTTACTGGCAGAGTACCAGCCCTTCTACAGCTGACATAAGCAAGCAGGGATGTCCCCAGCCTGGTTCCTGTTTCTACAGCCATTCACAATTGTCCCCAAGGGCTTGCTCCTCTTCCCATTAAGGTGCCCTTTAAGGGCTCAACAAATGCTCATCAAAACCAGGCCAGACAGCACCTAAGTGTGGATGGTGTAGGGGTAGCCAGCTTCCAGGTGTGGTCTTGAGATCTGGAATTACAACTGATCACCAGACGACTGAGATCTGTTCCCCTGGAGAAAATGGCTGCTTTGGAGGGTGGGACCCTGCTGAAGTCACCCGCCACCACAAGCCACACCCTCCCCAGGTTCCATCCCCAAATCTCCAGGAGTTTCCCAACCTGGCACTGGCAGCTCTAGGATGGAGATGGACACTAATGGAGAAGTAGAAAAGCCAAAGGAGTCACTTGGTGCACGTGACAAAGATCCAGCTGAATTCATCAGAGAATGGATATCACCCCAAGGTTTTTCAAGTTAAAATGAAAATGAAAATGCTATTACGACTAGACTAGGCCAGGTTCTCACCATGCCTTCATTAGGGTCGTAGAATCGCTGGACGAGCTGCACCGTCGTACTCTTCCCCGCTCCACTAGGGCCAACGAAAGCTGTCATTTCCCCTGGCTTGACGGCCATGCTGAGTTTATCTAAAATCTGGAAATGCAAAAAAAGGGGGGGGGGGAATACAATATTTTGAAAATGTTACTCTTGGTCCTGGGAGCAATATCTGAAGATGGTACTACAACAGCAAGACTGACCACTCACCTTTACTTCAGGTCTGGATGGATAGTAGAATGTCACATTATGGAATTCAATTTCACCTCTAACTTTATCCAGCTTGTAGCCACTTTCTGACATGCAATCGATGGTGGGTTCCTAGGGCAGAATGAAGTATGTTACTTGGTTGTCCTCTTAAAAGGAAAAAAAAACCATTTTCTGCATGAAAGATACAGCACACACTGCGGATCCGCCTCATCGTTTCCCTGGTATGGCCAGGGAATCTGCTTGACAGCAGATGTAAAAAAGAGAGGGTAGGGGTAATATGTAATCATGAGTCCAAAGTGATGACATGGATGCCCGACATGTACCAGTATACTTGCCTGTGGAGGTGTAACAAGACAAAAGAGGTGTAGCTACCCCAATGGAGGTGTAGCAAGACCTCTATGGAGGTGTAGCAACACAAAGCATCCAGGCATTATTTAGAGTTTGTCGGTGTAGTGTAGCAGCTGAGAGATGAGCTATGTGTTGGAAATGCATGTGTTTACAAGGTCTGACAAGTCAGTCATTATAGGGTTAACTTGTTTGCCTAGTATTGCTGTTGTTTAGACTGACCTGGAAGGGGTACCTGACTGTAAGCCAATGGGGAATTAGCCCGGAAAAAGTAGCTTCTATTGTGATACAGATTGGTTGTTTGTTTCAGGTGACTTCCTTTCTAAGGGTCGAGAAGAAGGACAGATTCTCCATTATCTCTGTGTTAGTGTTGACTATAGACAGCTTAGAAAATGTAGCTGTTAGTGTTATGTTTATTTGTAGTTATCCCGTGTACCTTTTACCTTTAGAAATAAAGGTTTTTAAAAGCAAAGAAATCTCTTCTTTCCAATAGAGCAAGATCCATTGATAGTCTGAGTATTAAACACTTTTGACTATTTTACAACACTATGAACTGTGAAATCCCCGGTTTGCCTCAACAATAAATATGTGGGGGCGTGGGGGCAGTGCCTGCGGGTGGTGGAGTTTGGGGAGTGGAAGGAGCTTGGTGAGGACTTAATGCCATAGAGTCTGAGAGTGGAAGGAGCTTGGTGAGGACTTAATGTCTGGCGTCTGAAGCGTCCATTTTCTCCAGGGGAACTGATCTCTGATCTCTGGAGGCCAGTCGCAATTCCAGGAGAATTTAGGGTTGCCGGATCCAGGTTAGGAAACTGCTGGAGATTTGGCAATGGAGCCTGAGGAGGACAGGGACCTCAGTGGGGTACAATGCTACAAAGTCCACCCTCCAGAACATCCATTTTCTCCAGGGGAACTGATCTCTGTAGTCTCTGGAGATTAGCTGTAATTCTGGGGCATCCCCAGGTCCCACCTGGAGGCTGGCCTCCCTAGGAGAACTCTAAGCCCCATCTGGAGGAAGCCAACAGAGGTGGGGAGCTGTAACAGCCATCATTAGCAGGGCTATTCCATGCAGCAGATGCCTCTTTAAAGGTACAGTCTTAAGCACATTGAAGTCAGTGATCTTAGAAGGGTGTCATTCTGCTTATGATTGCCCTGTTGATAATTCAAAGAGAATATTAAGTACATGGCAGCATATTTCTTTTCCTGCTGCACACACAGTGCTCTCTGTTTACAACTTGCCATTTAAAAAGCCCCTTTGGCTAAGTAAGGATTAAAAAGCAGACAAGTTGGGCCAGCTTCTACAAACGCTGCTCATTGATGCTGATGGAATTACACAGGAAGGTTTGCTGAACAGTTTGACCTCGCTGTTCTGTTTCCACCCAGCATATTAAAATTCTTATCTGAGCCTCTGGCCTCATTTCATTCCTTAGACTTGAGTGCCAGAGAGACGGTAGCGGCTTAGTTACTGAAACCACTCGATTGCAAATAGCCTGACTGGCCTAATAGAGAAATATTAGGGATCGGAGATACTTGTGAATATTCATCAGCTAATTATTTAGAAGCATCACTTGGCTGAATGCATTCTTTCAGAATTCAGTGGCAGGAGGCCTGCCTGGCTTTAATTTTGGCAATCAGTTCCCTTCCCTTAATCACCATAATATTTCTCATTTGCACTGTGGGTTGGAGCCTAAAATATGTACAAAAAATATTAATCATGCCCCTCCCCAACAAAGCAAGGCTGGTAGCCCTGTGCCATTGGCTACTCACTTTGTCGATTGTCTCGAAGATGTTTGTGGCAGCCCCACGGCCGGTGGCAAAGGCCTCCAGACAAGGAGAAGCTTGGCCAAGATTTAAGGCACCCACTAGAACACCAAAGAAAACCTGAAAAGCAGAAGGGATTATGTCTCCCCTGGATCTTTTCTTTTTAAAAACATGCTTTGATACAGAATCTAAATTATAATTAAAAGTGGTGGAAGTCATCAGGGATTATTTTTGGAACACAGGCAAATGCTTGGACCTCATGAAAAATATTAAGGAGGGTACAGATGGGAATACAACTGAAAAAAGAGCCATTTTTACACAGAAAGTACAGAACGACTATGTGCACAAATAGATTTCAGACTTCACTGTGATAAGGATGAGCAGGATTCACAGCCTGGTTCAGAGCGTGGGCAGACAACCACTGTTGTGTGTTCTGAACAGCAGCACGCCAGACTGTTTTCCTCAGTATGCTGGGCTGGTTCCTCAACCAGACAACAGAGTAGGCCTGCCATTTGCCTGCCTGTGCCAGTTAAATTCCTGCCCTCACTCACCCAGTCCCCCATCCTCAAGATATTGAGGAACTGGAGAGAAAAAAATGGCTGAATGTGGCCTCCATAGTGATGCTGTAGAAATTTCACCATGTCTCTATGTTCTTTACCACAGAGACTAGGGAAATTGCAAGGGCATAACTCAGAGCTGATGTCACATCCTCCCTAAATTCCACCCTCCCCAGTCACCACCTGCAAAATCTCCTAGCATTCACTAAGGATGTGCTGGCAACCATACAGCTGAGGAACTGGGAGTGCTACTGGGACTGGTGGTGTGGGAGAAGGTGACAGGCATGGCTCATCCCATTGTTGCATGCCAGACCCATGCAGCCCCCATCTGGGCCTGAGGTTGGGTGGCCAGGCAGTGTCATTAGGGACACCAGACCCCCGGGTGAGGGCAGGGTTCTCCTACTTTCAGCCCCCACCTCTACGCCACCAGCCAGCTGGCCTTTGGGGAGAATTACCCCCCCCCCAAAGGAGGAGGCTCCCAATAAGTGTACCCCCCATCCCCCGCCTGCTGCTCCAAGGGACCTGGCAACACTGTCATATAGAGTTTCTGGTGATTGCTAGAGCTTCTAGTGTCACTTCTGGATAACTCTAGGAATTGTCAGGAACTCTATAGTCAGAACTTCCTGTAAGTACACAAGGCCTTATTTTTCATTTAAATTTTTCTCTCCAAGACAATAACATGCTCCCTTTTTGCCCCATTTCCACCCACCGATCAGCTGAGCATTGGTGAGTTTGGGCTACAATTGACTGGAGGTCTCCCACCATAAGCAGGCAAATGGGAACTCTAGCCTGAGGTCCTGGCACCGCTGAGGTTTGGCAAGATCCCAGTGTTTCCAGCCAAGTGCAACCCTTGCCTCCCCCATCCGTTTGTTTGTCAGCACACCAACAAAATCACAAGTGGATGCTATGGGGGGGGCATTTAGCCCCCCCCCAGTTGTCAACCCATGTTTTAAAGACTTGATCTTGAATATATTAAGTATGACTTCATAAAAAAGTATTTCAAGAGCACTTCTTGCTAGTTTTTAATATCTCTTAACAACTACAGAAATATTATCAACACAGCCTGCATTACAAAGCCCATTAAATAACTTATAACAATTCTCAGTAGGAACGGAGTTCTGGCTGGCTTCCGCGTTGGCGGAACTCTAGCCTGAGGTCCTGGCACCGCTGAGGTTTGGCAAGATCCCAGTGTTTCCAGCCAAGTGCAACCCTTGCCTCCCCCATCCGTTTGTTTGTCAGCACACCAACAAAATCACAAGTGGATGCTATGGGGGGGGCATTTAGCCCCCCCCCAGTTGTCAACCCATGTTTTAAAGACTTGATCTTGAATATATTAAGTATGACTTCATAAAAAAGTATTTCAAGAGCACTTCTTGCTAGTTTTTAATATCTCTTAACAACTACAGAAATATTATCAACACAGCCTGCATTGCAAAGCCCATTAAATAACTTATAACAATTCTCAGTCAGTGCATCAAATATGTCAATAGGCCAGAAACATGAACACCCCTGAAGGTTGCTCCCCTACCCAGAGGCTGAACAACAGGAGGGAAAGGGCAGTAGAAAGCCATTACCTGTAAAAGCGTGCCAGGAGAATACTCTTGTTGCTCAAGGACAAGTTTTGAGCCATACCAAAAGGCTAGCGCATAACACATGAAAATAATAAACCAAATGTAACCAGTGAAGAATCCCATGATTATTCCCTTTCTGATTCCCCAGTTCTGGGCAAAAACTAGGTTTTTGTCGTATCTGCAAGGGGAAAAAAATAATAGGAACATTGAAGATATGCATTTGAGAATAATAAAAGGGAAGGAAAAAACAACTTGATCCAATGTTTGGGGAGTGATGCCAGTAATAATTGTAATTCTCATATGGCATGGTGCGTAGTATAGCCAGGAGATCCTATGATTGTCTGGCAGCCAGAAGTTCTAGCTCTTTTAGCATTATGCAGCACTAGTCAGCTGCAGAAGCAGGAAGAAGACCATGGCCCATATCTCTCTGACTGTCACAGGCAGTGGGGGCATCCTTCCACGTGCTGGGGCAGTGGGGCAGGGCTGATGGGTGAGGTGGGGGTGTAGCTATGCACCTGTGGGCTAGCCTGGGCTATCCAGGTCAGGGGTGATGCAAGTGCTGGAGAGCAATACATTGCATGAGCGCTCTCCCCTTGCAGTGGCTTAACCCTTGCTATTCCATGCTTTGAATGAGCGCTGCAAGCATGTTGTGTCTTGATTGACCCTCAAGCTGATGCAGTTGGTAATGTAAGAATACAGCTGTTGTGATGCAGGGGAGAACAGGACAGGGTTAGGGACTGCACCAAAACGTATGATACTTCAAATGCAGTGCCTTGTTGGCAGTTGTTACATTCCATTCCAGCACTGTCCCAGGGATAATCTGAATCCATTTGCCACAAATTCCTACTTCTTCCTTTCAGAAATGAACATAGGGCTCTTCCGCATTGTCATTTTTGTCACTCTTTTGTCCCTATTGCTTCAGGGCTTTCACACACCCCCCCCCATGTGTTTTGCTTTCTCTAGTAGTCCCAGAGGGAGCAAAACACATGTGGAAAAGGGTGGGGGACCCAAAGCAATAGGGACAAATGAGTGACAAAAATTACAATGCCCATGCACCCAGACTGTCCTCAATAAATTTGCTGCAGTATGCTGGGGGGGGGGGATTCTTGAGAGAGGATCATGAAATAGGCAGGTAAAGCAATTGGACTTTGTTTATACTGAGAGAAGCTGGCAGAGGAAATCAGGGGTTGTTTAGAACAAAGGAGGCCCAGTGGTGCAAAAGTTCCATCTTTGTGTGGGTTTTTAATTAAGAAAAAGGCCCAGGCAGCTAAAACGCAAGAGTGGGAATGTGTCCAAGAAAATGGGCTATCCACAGACTGGGACTTCCATCAATATCCAGAACATCAGAATATCAGGAACATTTGCACCTCTTTCAGAAGGTACAAGTTTTGCTTAAGAAAACCTGGACGTGGAGATCTGAGCAAGAACAGAGTGTGACTGAACAACACAGGCTCAGCCGGCAGGGACAAATCTTTGTGCTTGCATTGCTGCCATGGTAACAAAACATCACACTACCAGCAGTGTCCGTCCCACCTCAATAGGCCGAAACTAGATGTGATCGTAGCAGGCCCATTTGTTTAACACCTGGTCTGTTCTAATCACACACAGTTAGAACAATATTTTTTTAAAAAACAAAAGACATACTGTAGTTAACTAGGATCTATGGGATCTACAAAACTTGGATTGGGTCCAGCGGAGAGTTTTTGGGGATGGAATTATTTCCATCTGTGGAGCACAACCTTCTTGGCTCCTCTTGTACCCCAAACGTTCCCTTCCATAGGCTACCCTGGGGATCAGCACTTGGGAGAGGGTGTTTGGGGCCACAGTGGGAAGGCAGAGGTAACAAAGTCACACTCAGTGTGTACCCCAAACGTTCCCTTCCATAGGCTACCGTGGGGATCAGAACTTGGGGGAGGGTGTTTGGGGCCACAGTGGGAAGGCGGAGGTAACAAAGTCACACTCAGTAGACTGAAATCCTTCCATCCCTGGAAAAACTCAACCGGAACGCAGACTGTGCCAGCAGATTATGGGGGCTGCAGTTGGGTCCACTAGTGGCAAGGGAAGAGATAGCAGACAAGCCCGGGACCTCCCCTAAGGAAGACCTGGCCAAAGGCTACCGGTACAACTGAAGCTCATTTTCAGTTGTTGCAATTTATAAATACTGGTCTGTTACATCTAGACAAACAAGATATACGTCAAATAGCTTTGTACTGTTGGTTGGTTTTAGGCATGCGACCCATGCTTAATATCTGAACCGACCTTTCCACTTCTTTTCTTTCCCCTCCGAAAGCAGCCACAGTTCGGATAGACGAGAGCACTTCGTCAGCAATGGCACCAGCTTTTGCATAAGCCTTTAATTCTCGACCTGTCAGCTTTGCCACAGCCTAAAAACCCATCAGAAGAGTCATTATATGGGGGGAGGGCTTATTTGGATATTACACTTAATAGAACAAACTTTTTGCTTTCGCACCAGATATAGTGTAAGTTTATAAACAGACCATTTATATAGCCCAGAGAGAGAGAGAGAGAGAGAGAGAGAGAGAGAGAGAGAGAGAGAGAGAGAGAGAGAGAGAGAGATGCACGCAAATACTTACAGTGCAATCCTAAACAGTTACACTCTTCTAAGCCTACTGACTTAAATATTTAGCACTGCACTGTCACTATTCTACTCAAAATCTTATGTGCCCAGTTGTTTCTATGAGAGAATTCAGTTTCTGGTTGGGATACAGCAAAGTTTAGGGGTGTTTGGGACAGCATCATTGTATTCCAGTATTGAGGTGCTCTGCTCCAGCAAGTTGTTTAACAAAGGGGGGGCTTCAAGTTTCACAGAAGACATCTATAGGCAAAGATGACAGAAACAGTGGAAGCATTGCCTTATCTAACAGCCAATTCCAGAGGGGTCTTCCAGCAAAACCAGCAGAAAGTCTTGTAACACTGTAAAGACTAATACTACACTAGCTGGCCCTTATTCATTAAGATTATTTGTTCTGCACAGTACTGCAACATATCCCTCATCTCTCAATTTTCACACTCAGGAAAAAAAACAACTAAATTTTCCATTTCTTTCTGACCTCAGGGCACATAAGCCCTTTTCACCCAACACAGTGGTACCCTCAGGGCAGAGCTTTGGGGCACAGACCCAGGCACCCAGTTTGTGGGCTTAGCAGGAGGGCCACCCAAGCCAGGCTGTAGGTTTTCATTCAAAATATACATGCCCATTTAAATGGGGGCACCAAAAGATGACTGACAGCGGCAGTCCTAAACAAAGTCACATCCTTCTAAGCATTGTGACTTCCATGGATGTAACTCTGCACAGGATTGCACTGTAGCCTAAACTGATTTTACTGCGTCACTGACACAACAGATTGAGGGGGACTGAGTGAGGTAGTCAGTCTATTCCACTGGGGTTCAAAAAAATACATGTGGGATTGATCATTAACCCAGTGACTTGTAGTAAATAATTTGGCGAAGCTCTGTGGAGTTGTTCTGAGTCTCTGTCATGGTCACCGACTTCAAACACTGGACCCTGAGAACATTGCCACTAAAAATCATACAGAAATGAACAACATCAACTCCTCACCAGGCCAATTATTCCAGCTCCGACCCCAATGAGTGGACTGACGGCAATAATGACCAAGGTCAGCTTCCAGCCGCTGACAAATCCTAACAGGAATCCACAAATAAAGGTGGTGAAGCGCTGGATAAAGATTGCTACTTGGTCAGCAATAGCATCATTTATTTTATTAACGTCACTGCGGAGAACAAGAAAAGCAGGTACATTTTGCCGTTGTTACAATTAAAGATGGTCATTAACTTTCCCCCCCTTAATATTTGTATTAGTTTACTTTATACATATATATTATTCATAATATAATAATTTACATTTGAGTCTGATCTTTAACATTATTGTCTATCCATTTGTAAAGTCTCGACCATTTTTTTTAAAACTGTCTTCTCCTTTTCCCTGAATTAACAAGTTCAATTTGTCCATTTCTGCTAAATTCAACAATTTCAAACTTATTTCTTCCCTAGTCGGGATTTTTTCACATTTCCAATATGTGGCCAAAAGTATTCTGGCTGTTGTTATTATAAGTACAACTAATCATGCATCATCATGACTAAGATTTTCTGGCATTATATTTAACAAATATATTTCTGGATTTAACGTCAAATATATATTCATCATTTCCCAAATTATTTTCTGTACTTTCTCCCAAAATCGTTGCATTTTTACACATCACCACCACATGTGATAAAATAATCCTACATTAACTTTACACTTCCAACATTTATTTGAGCTATGTACATAGCATTTTGCTATTTTCTCCGGTGGCCAATAGATGGTCATTAATCTTGATGTGCTTTTCTGGGTTGGGAAACCATGAGGACAACTGTTTGGCTAGGTGTTTATTTGCCTATAGTCAGTTGTTCTGCTAGGCAGAAGATACACCAAATGGATGGCATCCCCTTGGATTTTCAGGACAGATCTTTTGCTCTGTGTACCTTCCCCTCCAGGTTTTTACCTGATACATATTCAGTGACTGCACTGTATTCAGACACGGCTTCCCTCTTCAGTTTTGGGAACTGGTCACTCCCAGATTTAGTATTCCATTTGGTATAGAGAGACTACAATGGGGAAGATGTTGTGCAGATCCTCATCTTGCTGCTCAGCTATTACCACTTGGAGGGGGGCTATGGCTCAGTGGTAGGGCATCTGCTTTGGATGCAGAAGGTCCCAAGATCAACTCACAGCATCTTCAGTTTAAAAAGATTTCATCCCAGACCATGTGAAATAAATGTATTTATTTATTGAGATATTTATATCTTGCTTTCCTCATTGCTCAAGGTGGCTTATAAGTCATAGGGCTTTTTCACACATTCTCATTTTGCTTGCTTGTATGTTCCTGTTGCTTCAGGGGTGGTGGCTGTACCCCATCTGTTTGGCTCCCTCTAGTGGTCAATACGCTCGGCAAATCTCCCTGCAGGTTTAAACTGTAGGTTTTTATGCTGGGCATAAACCAGTGTAATATTGAATCAACCACTAGAGGGAACAAAACATGCACAGAACAGAGAAACACCCTCCCCAAAGAATTAGGAACTTACAAGCAAGGAAAATGAGAATGCAGAAAAGCCCATAGTTAAAACATTAAAATTTAAAGCCAATAGGATAAAACCCTAGATCCCCTCCTCCTCATAAGAAGAAGAAGAGATTGGATTTATACCCCGCCCTTCACTACCCAAAGGTGTATCAGAGCAGCTTACAAACTCCTTTCCCTTCCCCTCCCCACAACAGACACCCTGTGAGGTAGGTGGGGCTGAGAGAGCTCTTGACAAAAACTGCTCTTTTTCAAGAACAGCTCTTATCAGAACTAAGGCTTGCCCAAGGTCATCCAGCCAGGTGCAAGTGGAGGAGTGGGGAATCAAACCTGGTTCTCCCAGATTAGAGTCCGCGCACTTAACCACTACACCAAAGATGCTTACAGTCTATACCCCTTTAAAAATTCATGGTGAACAAAATGGCCTCCTGAAGATGTCTAATAATGGCGCCCCCCCTCACCTTGACAGGGAAACCATTCCACAAAGTGGGAGCTACAGTGGAAAAGGCATGTGCCCTTATTGATGGCAGTAGGAACATCCTGTAAATGGAGGCTGAAGACCCTTATTCGTGCATGGGGACAAACAGAAGGAGACAGACCTTCAGATATGTGTGTCCTAGGCTTTGCTTTAACACCTTGAACTGAACTTGGAAACAAACTGGCATCCAATGTAGCTGTTTTAAAATGGATGAAATATATTCCCATAGACCTTAACAATAATCAAGCTGCTGCATTCTGAACCAGGTGCAGGTTCCACATTGTCTTCAAGGATAGCTCTTTACTCTGAGACCCTGGAGACCCACTGCCAGTAACAGTAGATAATACTGACATTTATTTATTTATATCCCACTTTTCTGTTCTAAAAGAACACCCAAGGTAGCTAACGGACATAAAACATCCTAATAAAATACAGACATCAAACAGTCAATCAGTAATTAAAAAAACCCAGGTTCCAATAGCTTTTACAGGTGAGCTGCTAGGGGTGTGGCTGAGCAGGTGGGAAAGTTCAACCCTGGATGGTTGGTTCCCCTCAATGACCTTGATAGACCAATGGTCGGACTCCATATAAGTCAACTTCATATATGTTTTCCCTTTGTGGGAAATGGCCAGGTAGAAAGATAAAATATCGAAGTGCTAATCATTGTGTGTTTTCACCCTTTCATTACCCACTAGGCGGTGGCTGCCCTTTCCACCAACCTCGGAGCGGCTACTTATTTATTGACATATAGTGGTCTTTTTGACTTTTGCATACAAAAACAAAGTCATGGTTCTAAGGCAATAAGTAGCCCAGCAGCACTATATTTTTCTCCTTTGATATCTGTTCACAGCCACTACCTATATCTGCTTAACTACAAGATCAGTGTGAGGCAAAGCACCCTAGTTTTACCAAGGGTTAACACGAATAGTAGTGGGTCATGCAGGTGTTTGTAATTAGCCTTCCTTATAGATACTATCTGTATCTCTTTCAAGGCCTGATATCTGAATGAGGTAATTGGCTAAATGAAAAACCTGCACTCAGTTCAGTAACTAGATGGGAGGGGGGAGCCAGGAGCAACTTGCATCATCTCTTGGAGTGCTCCCGTGAATGAGTGCTTTGAATGGATTCTGAAGACCGCCTGAAGTCAGATAGCAAGAAACTATAACTGGGCCTTAGATAAGGGGAACACTGTGCTAACTTTTGATCCTATGGGACAGATGTGTAAACTTCCAGCCTGAACTCTACAATTTTGAATGGTGCACCAGTTAATGCCAGGTGCTAAAGTGTCAGAAAGAAAAAGTTAGCTTTTGGTGTATTTTTTCTAATTAACTCAAGAGACTGTGTTGCCTAGTAGTATTTGTAATTTTCTTTGCTCAATAAATCTGTGTGTATTTTTCTAAAGGTTTTGGTCTTGTGCACATTTAACCTCAGGGACCCACGAGTTTGAGCACTGCTTACGAGTCTGAGAGACAGTGGCTCAGAGGGACCAGGCTTGGGTTTCCTGACATTTGGTCCTGACAACAGTTGCATTTTGCCCTCTGCACAGTGGACAGATTGACCTTATGTAGATTCAAACTCAAGTCCAGCTCTGGTAAAAACAACCAACAGTAGCTTTTTCTTTTACTTTAAGCAGCCTTTTGAGAGGCATGCTCTCTCTCCCCCCCACATATGCCTGGAATGGACATCTCAGATTACTCACTCAGAAATCCGTGTATTGAGTTCACCCACTGATGTACAATCAAACCAGCCTATATCCATCCTCATTACTTTCCTGAAATAGGCTTTTCTGATTTTCTGTATCTGTCGAGCAGCTGCCGTTACCCATAAGCAAATCTGAAAGAAAACAGTGTGTGTGGGGGGAGCAAAGGTGAAAAAAGCCACAATTAAAGGGGGGGGACAGCTTTCCATCAAGTGCTCTAAGGCAGCATTGAAACTGACAGTGGAACCAGTTGAATATAATATATCCCAATTCCCAGTCTACCTGCTATTGATTTTATGTCTTCCATGATGGTAAATCTGCACTTGTTTTATAAACTGATTAAAGAATCTTCCTCAGTTATACTACATTGGCATATATACCTTGGGCATTCATAGAATTAAATTCTCAATGTGGATACATGATACAGCGTGGATACATGAATCCAGAAACTGGGGATATGTACAGACAAGACAAATTTCTACAAGCCTGGCATCTGAGTCCAAAAAGACATCTTGTACTGGTGGTATTGGTGGCCACATTTGCAATTTCCATCACCCAAAATGCTATCATTGTATGCCCTGTGGGCCATCCCAGAGACAAGTGAATAACAGTGAATGAACATATGCTCTATGGAAGGCCCTCATAGGTTCAATCAGTCAAGTGCTGGTCAATGTTCCCTCTAAGCTGTGGAGTCCTGTGAGCAGAAATTCTACTTTGTGAGCCACTGACATTAAAGTTGTGAGCAGGTGATTTGGCCACTGCATAAATTAGTTTGCTGTGGAGCCCTCCTTCCTGAGCCAAGAGAAAAATGTGTGAGCTGGAGGCTAAAAAACTGTGAGCTGGCTCACACTAACTCAGCTTAGAGAGAACACTGGTGCTGGTTACTATAAGCAGAGGTGTCAAACTCATTTGTTACAATGTCACTTTGTCGGGCTGGGCCATATGTGCCATAAAATGTAATGCCAGCAAGGGAGATATAAACTTCATAAAGGACACAGGCAAACCCAATTTACAATGTTATTTTTATTTAAAATACAAACATGCTTAAAACATTAACACTCTTACAGTATTTCCTTGAAGTATCTCCCTGATGCCCGCCCTCCCGCTTCCACCGCCCATTTACTCATTAGCACGGGGACAGTATGCAAGGACATAACGCACCGCCCCTGTCATCTGGCAATAAAGGTAATGACCAGTTGCTCATGGCTGGATAAGAGCCATTGACAAGCTGGTTCCAGCCCGCAGGCTGTGTGTTTGACACCCCTGTTATATAGGTTCATGAAGATGCAGCTTCTCGGACAGTTAAGAGGAGGAGGAAGACTGTGCCTGCTTTCTGTATTTCTAACCAGTCCTCTATCTCTGCATGTTGCAAGTTAGTTATATTCTGTCCTGAATAAGAACTTTTGTTTATATCATGAGCCTTCCTCCCTTTACCTCTGGGTCTCCTTCCCATTACCAAAACTCAATCCAAACATTATTTGAAAACAAGTCACATGACTTCCCTGCATCATGGGCTCCCAGACTGACCCTGGACCCTGAATGTTGTCCCCCTAATTCCCCCAGCCCATCACAGTGGCTCTGATTTGGTGGAGAGACAACAGTTAAGAGCTGGTTCCATATTAAGGATTATATCAGGACTAGCAGCAAAGCTCGTTGTAAAAGCAATACAATGAGCTCTAGAAAGATGTGACATGTAATGAACGCATAGGCTGGAAGCCAATTAAGCATGGTCTCACCCACTGCAAGTGCCAGCCAGCGGGGACCCTGCTCAGCTGGCCAGATCTGACCTCCCCCGGCCAGGCTAGCCTGGGCTGTGCAGGTTGGAGGTTCCAGCTGAGACAACACAGGGAGGCTGCTGGGCCACAGGCAACTGTCTGTCTGGGAAGGCTGCCCGCCGGCTGCTGCCCTCCTCCCTCCCTCCCTCTGCAGGGCAGGGGGCGCAGCTGGCCTGGGGTGTGGGGAGACGGGGAGGTTGATGCTGGAGTCTGCTGCGGTTGGCCGGGCTTGCTTACCCCCGGGCTGCCCTGCCAAGGCGGTGCCAGCGAGCCAGTCTGCCAGCACACCTGCCTGCCCAATGTATGGTGAGGCAAGAGGCACCAGGGGATGCTGCACAGGATTCCCCCCTCCTGCAGCAGGCCTGTGGAGCTGCCACCGCAGCCTCCAGCCGGGCTCTGCCTCTTCCGAGCGAGCCACGGCAAACAGGTGAGCGGTGTCACCCCACACGTAATCCGGCACTCCTCTGTCCTTGACAGCGCCGCTGCCACCTCTCTCTCTCCAGCCGCACCTTCCCCAGCATGCATTGCCAACCACTGGGCTTCTGCCACTCCGCTGAGGCCTGCTCGGGCCAGGCCAGCCTGTGCACTCAGAGTGTTTGTCTCTCTGGACCAAGCGGGGTCACCTCCCACCCGCCGCTTTGGAGAGACCCCGCCAGGGCCAGGTATGTGGAAACCAGGCCACTGCCGCCGCCACCGCATCATGGCAAACGCGAGGTCCTTGAGGGAGGGGAAGCAACTGTCTTCTGAGGAAATTTTTGGCCAGCGCCAATTCTGCTGGCAGGACTCAGGCAACACAGCCAGTGGATAGGGACAGCTTCTGAGTGACACATCATTGAGCCAACAGATTTGGGAGCATGTGGAATGTTCTGGAAAGTGCCATCCCAAATGACAATTATTATATAGGGAGATATGGATTATATGATGTATAGAAAATCATTACATTTTTTCTATATGGAAAATAATACGGGTAAGGGAACACTGACTTGGAGATATCCAAGAAAAAGAACTGCACAGCCGATTCCTGCATAGTAACTTGCAAACAAGGTCATTTCCTTTTCAATATCCAGCAATCTATTTTTTGAGAGAGAGAGAGAGAGAGAGAATTAAACAGCATTCTTTCCAATTCCCAACAATTATTTTACTTGAATGTCTATTTTGGTTTTGTGCTAATAGAATTCTACATGCATACAAACAAATGATTTAATGATTGAACATGAATATTTCTGACCTTGGTGAATCAAAACATCTTGTGTTTAGGCGATCTTTAACACTGGCACAAATGGAACCCTTCATCCTTACCTGCACTTATATCCATATTATTCTTTTTGCTCCAGCAGTGTTTGAGTATGGATTTAGAGGAGATGGAAAAATACAAGATGAAGGAATTAATGAAAACATAGCCACCCTTTTCAGCCATTATGTTTCTGGACCTCTTGTGTACTGGGAGAATGCACTAAGCGTAGTCACCATTATGTGCATAAATAGGCATTGCTCATATTTTACAGCTGAAGAGCATGAAAATGCATATCCTGGAAAATCTGGGTTTCAGGTAGCAGGTACCATAGCTGGAAAATGGTGCATTGCTTGGCACATACAAAATGGTGATCACTCTTCCATTGCACTAGATAGGAGCACCAGTTCAGTTTAGTTTATTCAAGTTTAACAGCCCATAGGCCATATGCTATAAAACACAATCAAAGAATTAAAAATCTCAGTATCACAAAAGTTTGCCACATCCACATACAGCTTTTGCAGAGGCTACTCAAAAGTAATCTTGATCTTGAGATGTCAGAAATGGCCAAAAACTTTAATAGCCATTTTCTAAGAAATTTTTCTCGGGCTATTGCATACTTTGGGCAATAGAAAAAAGTATGGGGCAATGAATCAACCACTGCCAGTCACAAAAGCGCTGACCTAAAGGTATTTTGAAGAAATGGCCCTTCATCTGGGCAGCTGACAGTATGTTACAATGTGTGATCCTCAATTTTGGAACTGCCAGCATATTAAGATAATGGGGCTGATCAAATTGGGTTGGATATATAATTTCCAGATGAGGTAGGGAACATTTCCATCTAGCAGCTTTTTGGAGGGAGTCCCAGACCTGTTTAAGCAATTTCTCTATAGGTAACTTGCATCTGCTTTCTATTAAATTGCTTGGTTTCTGTGAGCCCAATCAATTGATTTCCATATCCACAGCTCAGATAGGAGCAGCAGAAACATACCACCTGGAAACAATTAGGAGACAAGTAGATATGGCACATGTTCTGTTGGACAGAGATGGCCATTGCTTGTAGCTTGAAGCCCTAAGTGAACCAGGCCAGCATATCCAGGACTAACCCAGGATGTGGTGGTTTGTTTTTGTCCTGTTTGCACATTTAAACTGCACCTTTGTATTTCATACTTTGTAAGCCGGTTCAGTCCCCATTGGGGAGAAAAACAGGATAAAAATTCTGAAATAGTTCTGTTGGACTTGTAATCCACCTTCATTCCCAGTGATAACAGCAGACGACAAATGAAGTACATACCGATAAAATAATAACTTTCCTTGCAGCACTTTTCAGGTTTTATAAAATCCCTGCAATGAACTGCCATTTTCAGATGTTAACTGAAGCTCACATAGTTACGTGTTTCAAATCTTCATGGGGTGGCAATGATACATTCAGTTCTGTTTAAGCATTTATAACTTCAAGGATTAAAAGAAAGACAGACCCGATCCCCTAAAGGTTAAAACTGAGTATTTGAATACGTGTAAGGATGACTTGAAACATGGGCTGGCTCCATACCTTAGCTGCCCTTCCCCATATTCATGTCTATTGCTTCAATACACCTTGTTGAGTTTTGGTGATGAATTATCACAAGGCACAGAAGAGGGCCCTTTCCAGTGGTATGTTACTAGTTATGAAAACAGACATTAATACATGGGGCATTCACATAGACTCCCGTCCAGCTAAAACGATTCCTGGCTGAGGTCTACTGAGATTAAAGGAACATGTCAATGGACCAGCTCCACTACTGTTGATTTCAATTGGTTTTTAGCTGGATTAGGTCTCAGAGGACAAAAAAGCAGTTTAGGTGAGGTCTGTATACATAAAAATCAACCTGACATTTAGTTCAGTTGTCTGCAGCCCTTAAACCAGAGTCTTTTACAATTACCAATTTATGAATTACAACCTCAGAAGCTAAAGGAATCCTTAATACACTTCGAAGTGCCCTGGTGGGGAGAGCACATACGATAGTTCTAAACCAGAAAGAATCAGGATAATCGCTGCAAGACAGGGCAAGTCAGAGAGGGGCGATGATGGAATTTCAATTTTTACCCCTGTTGGCTAAAGCTGACAGCTAGCTGAGTGTAACCTGACTGGAGCAGAGCTGATTAGGATACGAGTATATTAAAACAAGCAGTTATCAGCAGGTGTGCAAGAAGCAGCTCCTCCAGTTCTGGAAAGATAGCAATATAAATTTGTAGACCAGCCAGTTATTGCACATCGCAGCCTGAATAGTCTAGCCTAAGCTTGCCAGAACTTGGAAGCTAAGCAGGGTTGGCCATTGTTAGTATTTGGACAGAAGACCACCAACAAAGACCAGGATTGCTACACAGAGGTAGTAAATGGCAAAACATGAGGGGTCACTATAAGTCAGTTGCGACTTGATGGCACTTTGTTCTATATTATTATTAGACACTGCATGGCCAGGTGCCATTATCAATGAAGGCATGAACTGGCGGCAAATAAAAGACTGCAAATCCAATGCCCATTTTGCTCAGTAAGACAATAACAAGTAACAAGTATTTCACAGGAAGTGGTGGCGGCTACAAGCATGGACGGCTTCAAAAGGGAATTAGATAAGCATATGGAGCAGAGGTCCATCAGTGGCTATTAGCCACAAGGTATAGATAAGGACTCTGGGGCAAGTGATGCTCTGTCTTCTTGGTGCTTGGGGGGGTCAACAGTGGGAGGGCTTCTAATGTCCTGGCCCCACTGCTGGACCTCCTGATGGCACTGGTATTTCTGGCAACTGTGTGATACAGAGTGTTGGACTGGATGGGCCTTTGGCCTGTTCCAACATTGGCATCTCTTATGTTCTTAACTTGAAGCAGGATTACAGCATGCCTTGAGAGCCCAGTCAGGCTGGCTCCCTTGCAAGTGATAGTGGTCAGTGCTACTTAACGATAAAGAAGAAGTTAAATGATTCGCACACTTACCCACAACTTATCGATGTATTACTTTCATTTTCCAGATAGGAGCCATTGATCCACACTATGGTGTTATTCACACAGGTTTTGTTTGGGTCTCCCAGCTCTTGCTTTTCAATGTCGTATTGTATAAATGTGTCCGTCATGGCCCCAAAGACAAGCAACATGCCTGGCTGGGCTGCTCCGTGAAGAATAGCACAGATACTACCAAAAGCCATCATCACCGTCTCGGATGGTGAGGCAAATCTAAACTAATAGGGAGAGGGGAAAGGTACAGAGAGATTATTAAGTTATGCATTAATGGACTGTTTATTCCCCTAAAATGTAACGCAGGGCTCCAGAATTCCATTCTGGAATAACACTTGTACCTTGCATATGTCCAAACTGACCTTCTAAATTATCTAAAATCTAGTGTTACAACTACACGTACACCCATAGGTCAATAGTTCAGGAAATGGGTGAGCATGTATATGAGTAACAGGAACAGAGTGAGTGTGTCAGAAGGGTTCAATCCAATTATTTACAATACACTCCTAAGCAGTGTCACATACTTCTAAATCCACTGAAGTCTCTCTGGGATTATACTGTCAATGAAGCCAAACAGTGTACAAAAAATACCTAAAACCAAGAATTTTATTACCAGCTGGAAGAAGCCAATTCGAATAGCATCCTTTTTCTTGTCTGATGCCCTTGAAAGAAAACAAAATGGGTGGAATTAGAAGGTTTCATTTTCTGTTTCGGATAGGCTAGTATCTCTAGTGGTCCCTGATGATGGGATTTCTTCATGGGACTAAATCTGGCCACTACCAGACCTGGTCTCTTCAGTCCACTCTACTTTTTGGAATATTGCTAGGACCCTGAGATCAAATGGTTTGCTTTTCATTTAAATTTTCTAGCCCTCTTCCTGAGAAGCAAAACTTCCTAAACATCCTAAACAATATTTCACAGATACCTGACTTGTAGAAACATATCTCATATGAATCTCTCACCTCATAGATCAGGGTGGCCATATTTGTTTTGCCTGATCACCACATTTGGGTTTCTGCTCACTTTGGGGGGGCTCCACGTTGGTAGGCAATTCTTCCTGTTTCCAGCACATGCTGGTGCTGGAATCAGGAAAAATGGAAGCCTCAAGATCCGGAGGAGACCCAGATGTGGCATTCTCTCCCATTCTACTCCTCTTTCAGAGTCTTTGTGGTGCTTGGTCCTCAGGCTGTTTACCAAGACTTTGAGACCACTGCAGCCTTCGGGTGGACTAGCGCTCCCAATAAATTGTTAGGGAACTTGAGGGCTGGATGAAACACTCCAACAGACCAGATGTGTTAACTGGGCAGTAATTTGCTTGTTTCTGTTATAGATGATGATGATGATGATGATGATGATGATGATGATGATGATGATGATGATGATAATAATAATAATAATAATAATATACTTTTTGTCATTGTACATAGTACAACGAAATTAAGGTGCAATCATTCGGTGATCTACAAGCATACTCATATACACTCACACAACCATTAGGGTTCACATTGCAACTTAACCACCAATGTCACCCAAATTCCAATTCATACAGCATTTAAAGCAATAATAGCTCTCGAATAAAAACTGTTTTTTAATCTGTTTGTCCTTGTTTTGATTGATACCAATTGGCTTAAGAATAAACACATCCACATATATAATATAGAAACCCCATTCACCTTTGCTGACTCCCTCCACATGCTAGCTCCTCCCCCCTGCTCCTCCCCCCTGCTTGCCCCAGCTTTCTTCCCCATCTTGCTGATGCCTGCCTCCTGGTGCTTCTCCCGCCCTCCAGGTACCCATGTCCGTTCCTCCCTCCCCCTTCATCAAATTCAATATTTCATCACAAGATCTCAATGGTCATTTTGCGGTTGTTCGGCAACTTCTGTCTTGGAAAGAGCAAACCTGGATTTACAGGCCTTTTTAATACATTGATGGAGCTGTGGTGGCTCAAGTGGTTAAGACGCTGAACTGCAGGCTGTGGAAGGTCGGTAGTTCAGCAGTTCAAGACCCGGGTGCCGCAAGACGGGGTGAGCTCCTGTCTCTAGTTCCAGCTCCTGCCAACCTAGCAGTTCGAAAGCAAGACATTGCAAGTAGATAAATAGGTACCTCTTCGGTGGGAAGGTAACAGCGTTCCGTGAGCCTTGGTGTTTAGTCATGCCGGCCACATGACCACGGAAACGTCTTCGGACAGCGCTGGCTCTTCGGCTTTGAAACGGAGATGAGCACCGCAACCCTAGAGTCGGACTCGACCGGCTTTCGAGCAAGGGAACCTTTACCTTTACTTTAATACATTGGGCTGATGAATGGAAGCTGTATTGGCATTCATGTATATTTTTATAGTACCAGTACCTATACGGATGCAAACATTTGTGTCTACAGTGCTGGGTATACTTAAAAAGCTCAGGACGATGCATGTTACTAACTGTCAAGCAGTTACAGCCACAATTGTCGGTATTTATCCAGAAGCATGACGCAGCCAGTGAAACAGGAGGTATTTTAGCAACAAGAAAGGAACTTTGCAAAGATGCAGGAAGTTTCTAGGTTTGGAATGATGCACTACGTAGAAGGAGGCACCTTAAGGGTATGATAATTTTGTAATTCTGGAGTGGCCTGTTAAAATTAGGGCTGCAAGGTCCCTGCCCCCAAAGTGCCCAGATCTGGCCAACGTGCCCGGCGCAATGACGTCACCTGGAGGTGACATCATCATGCTGGGCACGTCGCCAGGGGGACTCTCTAGCATTCAGCCTGAAAACTCTATGGTATCACAGACCAGGAGCTTCTCCCCCCTGCCACAATAAGTAAGACACCTGACAACCCTACTTAACCATCTGTAGATTTTTTTCTAGGAAAAGCTTGAAGTGAATGAGTTTCAGCATTCCTGATAGTGCCCCAGAAGACTGTTTGACTTACTTGTCACCGTTTGTATTATTTGTTGAAGAACTTTCCCTTTTGGTATAGAAATATCTGTAAAAGACAAGAGATTCCTATGTGATTTTTCTTACTGTTTATGATTCTGTGCACTGCTATGCCCCTTGATTTTTATCCTGCCCTCCCTTCAAGGACCTCAAGGCAGCAAACCTGGCCCATTTTTATCTTCATCCTAGGATGCAGGTTAGGTAAGATCAAACACGGTCACTGCCAACTTCATACCTGTCCTTGTCCACCACACTGTCACGCTTGGTTTATCCAACAAACATAAGCAGGGGTCATTTCCTGCAGGAGCGCACAGGAGCGGAGCTCCGGCATTAAAGAGCCCAGGGACGGGCACATGCAACAAGCCCCACCCCCTGTTCCAAGCAGCCCTCAGTCAGAGCAAGAAGCAGCCAGGTAAGTTGCAGAGACCCCCCGGTCCAAAACAGTCCAGTGGCACCTTTAAGACCAAGTTTTATTCAGGTACAAGCTCTCCGTCCTCTGTGAGGACAGATCTGCACATTCGCCACCCCCATAGCTAGCAATCCAAAACAGTCCAGTGGATCCTGAGCAGTGGGTGTTGCCTTCTGACACACTTCCAGTGTTCCAGTGATGTCAGGGTGTGTGGCATATGCAAATAAATTATTCTGAGTTATGCTAATGAGCTCCTGCACCTCTTTTTCTACGAAATGACCTCTGAACGTAAGTATTATTTTGGAGCTATAGTACTAGAAGGCAGATATAAGAAAACTCCCTATATGGAAAGGCTTTGCTCATGTCTGCCGAAAGAGGTTGAAACCACAGAGCACGTGTTTTTCAGCTGCACATATTATAAGGAAGCACGAGGCAAGATTATTAGCCCCTTTATTAGACAAAATCCTTGGTCTCACTGAAAAAGCTAGGCTTGATTATCTTCTCTCTGATAAGAACCCCACGATTACCTGCCAGGTAGCTAGGTTTTGTTTGGTGATATTGAAGTCTTGGAAAAATATGTTGTAAATTATATTTTAAATGTAACATTGTTTTTAATCATTTTCATCTGGTATATGGTAAACTTTGAATTTTTAATTGTAAAATTGTGTCAAATGATCATAATAAAGAATGAATGAATGATCTTCACTGGGAGACACCTTGGTAGGGGGAGTCGCCAGGATCGTCGTGAGGATAACATGCACACACGTACGCCACCATGATGAGCTCTTTGGAGATCTGGGAGGTGGAGCCTAAAGAGGGCAGGGTTTGGGGAGGGGAAAGAACTCAGCAATGCAATACAATGCCTTCGAGTACACCCTCCTAAACAGCCATTTTCTCCAGGGGGACTGATCTCTGGAGATCAGTTGTAAAAGTGGGAGGTCTCCAGGCCCCACCCGGAGACTGGTAACTTTAGAAGAAGGGTAGGATAAACTGTAACAGACAGACATTCAGTGAATTACTGTTTTGAACTGTTCGGCATTTTCAAGAGAGCCTGGCAAAGGGGTACAGGATAGAGTCAAGCCTAGGCAAGGAACTTAGCAAAAATCATACTCCACAGCAGTAGTTTTCAAATCAAACTATGTTGGGGGCGGGGTTTCACTAAGACAATCAGTTGATACAAAATCTTATCAAAACAAGAGCTTGCCCATTACTAATAATCTTTGCTTGGATTGCGCAGCTGCAGGTGAATCTTGGTGCATCCTCTCAGTACACAGAAAACTCTGGTTTGAGAAATTCCTGGAGATTTGGGGGCAGTGCTTGGGGAAAGCAAAATTTAGGGAGAGCTCACTGGGAATGTGATGCCATAGCGTCTACGCATCAAAGCTGCCATTTCCTTGGGGGGGGGGAGTGCTGAGCCCTGTGGTCTGGAAAACAACTCTAATTTCAGGAGAATGCTAGATCACACCTGGAGGTTGACATTCCTTAACCCTCCTGGCCCAGGCCAGACAAGACGCCTAAAATTAGGGCTGCCAACTGAAGAGATCCAAAACAATGAACACATTGTGAGAGCATATGAAAATTATGTACCAGGTACTTTATGACAATAAACTGATCTTGTATGTTAAACGTTTAAATTTGCTTTTGCTGTTATAAGTGCATTTCTTCTTTTCCATAAGTATTTCTGCAGTAAAGTAACAGGGGAAGTTCCCTGGAAAACTGCCAAAAACATGCTCAAAATAATCTGCAATGCACAGGGGTTCCATGGAAGACCGATCAACATAGCAACGGGTCCCTGAAGGTAGGAACATTTAAAACCACTACAGTATAATACATTTCCTTACTTAGCCTATTGTCTAATTTGGCCCATGATGGTTTGTGTCTTATAGATACCCAGATGGGAACTGGAGTGGTTAGTCTGTGTTTGGATTGCTGGAGATACGTTTCAAGGAACTTTGAGTGGATAATTGAGCAGGCAGCTGTCTTAGGTATACAGCATCAGGATGCTAAAATAAATTTTCATTCTCAAAGGAAATTGCTAGTTATTGCTGCAGTGACCACAGATGGGCATTATGCTTATGACTAGCAGTAAAGCCCGTTGTGAAAGCAATACAACGAGATCTAGAAAGATGTGATTTGTAACGAATGCATAGGCTGGAAGGAGGTAAAGTACCTCCTGGAGATTTGGGGGGTGGATTCTGTAGAGGGCAGCATTGGGCGGGGGGGCGGAAGGACTCAGCAGGTATAATGTCATAGGGTCTACCCTCCAAAGCAGCCATTTTCTCCAGGGGAACTGATCTCTGTCTTCTGGAGATCAATTGTAACAGCGGGAGATCTCCAGGTCCCATCTGGAGATTGGTAACCCTAGGGGAAAGTCAGCTGCACAGCAGGTGGTTGAAGAGAATGGTTTGATTGGCAACAATAGTTCCCCAGGAGCAAATGGCTGGTTTGGAGGGTGGAGTCTATGGCGCTGTACCTGTCTGAGGTCCCCCTCTCCGGGCTCCACTCCTCAAATCTCCAGGAATTTCCATACCTAAAGCTGGCAACTTTATCTCCTCCCCTCTCAGCAGCCTCTTTCTAGGCAAAATTCTGTCTTTCTCATTAGCAGGGAGCAAAGCAGCTTACTTCATTCTCTTTGGCTTTGCGATCTGTACAGCAACACTGTAAGGTAGGTTAGGCAGAAAGTCTGTGGCTGGTC